GTTTACCACGACTCGCGAGTACATTCCATGATAGACTAAGTGAAATTTTCAGCAACTTTTGGCATTCATATTAAGGCAAATATTCAAATTTCAAATATTATAAAATTAAAAATGTAAATTAAAAAACTGAAAGTCGCTCTTTGTGTTGTGTGTCATTGAGTTTAAACAGGTAAATGATGTGGATTAATTGTACATGATGAAAAACGATTTGAGTGGAAATAGTTTATATTTCTATGAATAATACGGTTGAACCAATTCTTGGCTCTTGCCAAAAATAAATCGCATGTATAATATTGCATAGTAATTGATGATTGTTATAATATTACTTCATATAAATAGCATATAAGTATTAATGTATTACTAATTATTATAAACTAATTACTTATTAGTAGGTATTGGTCAATACTGACGCACAGTAGAACGGTGTGAATAGAACAATAGGTCCAAGGCATATATACGAGTATCATAAATATACTTTTAATATTTTTAAATTCCCGTTGAGTTTATTAAATAATAAGTATGTATAGGTAGTGGCAAAGAGATTCAAGTCTATATTATTAATATATTTTGAAATGTAACAAAATAATGTATAAGCATTTTTGATAACTTTATGTTTTATACGACCCACTTATGTGAAACTTTGTATTGAATTTTAAAATTTTTTTACCGAGCACACAATTTATTATCAAAATTTAAAAAAAAAAAAATCGATAATGTTAAATGTCTTTATGCCTATAAACTATAAATACTTTAAAATTAGTCTAAAAGCGTTGAAGACCTCTTTGGAATATTTTGTATATAATATACTTATATGCAGACTGGTTAGCCTGATAAAACTTATATGATGACTTTATATTATATTTAGGTGTACATCCATATTATCTATGTATTTATGTATTTCGAATTTAAAACAAAACCAGTTTTCAATAAAAAAGATATTGTTTTTTTTTTTAGTATAACCCTAAAAAGAATAACCATAGAATAGATATCTACTTAAAATTTTCTGCAAATAATTATAACAGCATTTTATATGCATGATAAAATTTTCAAACCTTTTTTAATTATTTTTAAATAAAAAAAAAATTTGGTTTTTTTTTTTTAATTTTTCAAATACTATCAATAAGTAGTTATTACCTGGTAAAAAGCTTTAAAAAATTAATACAAGATACATTACAAATTTACCTTTTTAAGATAAAAAAAAATTTACTGAAAAATAATATTAATTTTATGAGTGCTTGAAGTTCAAAATTGTACAACATTGGATATTCACTAATAAATAATTATATTACTCCTAAAAAATTTTTTAATATTTTATTATAATTTAAAAAAAAATGCTTAATACTTGAAATTTTTACAAAATGTTCATGTTATTATAACATAATAAAAATCTTGTATTAGTTTTTATTTCAATAATTGTTAATACATTTATTTGATTAATTAAGAAGGTTGAAAATTCAATACAAGGCTTCTTAATAAATTTTTTATAAATATTTAAAAATATTAAAGATACGTAGGTTTTACTTTCTTCATTAGTATTTGAAGTTCAAATTCTGACAAAATTATAAAAAATTGGTTATATTTTTGTTATTAAAGAACCTAACTATAAGAATTGAGAATTTAACACAAGAATTTTCATAGGTAGTTTACATCGTGACCAAAAAATCTAAAAAATATCTAAACTTTATTTTCTTAATTTTCTTCTTAGACAATAAATTGAAGTTAAAATTCCATACTAAACGAAAAATAATGAGTCATCTTATTATTTTGTAATTAAAAAATATATTTTGTTGGTACTTAAAACTTAACGAAGATTATTATGTTTTATACACACACACACACATTTTAAAATAAAATGTATTCAATTTTTGGAAAAAATAAATGCAGACTGCTTCGCTTAGAAATTAGAATCATTTTTTGTATACAATGATTTTATATATAACAGTTATTGCCTATTGGTAATGAGATTGACATTACCATTCAGTATAATATAGAACAAATTTCCAAATAGTCTTTCATTTTAAAATATAAATTTTTTTGTTTATCATTTACTAAGCGTATTACATACATCGTATGTAATTTTATAAAATTTTGCTTTGATTTGATTCCATGGAATAAAGATTAGGTAGATTCAACCATAAAGCTTAGAAATGACTAAATCCATTATAGTTTCGTATTGTTACACAATACGATTTCTCAAGGTTTTTATATGCTTAGCGAAACAATGTGTCATAACTTTTGGAATAATTAAAGTGCTATTTAATCTTCTGCAGCACTAGATCTAGGGGAGGGAAATTCGGGGCACATACCCCTAACGCTGGTCGTAAAAAGGCGCAAATTTCTATAATAGTAAGTAAGTAAAAAAAAAAAAAGGTTATTGATATAAAAAAGCGCTAATTTCATGTTTTGCTCCGGGTTAAAAAAATGTTAGATTCGACACTGATCTTCTGTAATGATTACTTATATATTATATCATGATTTTTAAAATGCATTTCATTATTTTTTTAGTTATTTTGACTCTTTAAACGCTATTTCTATACATTTGAAACTTTCTACTTTTTTTTCAATTTATTTATAATATTATTAAAGTTAGTGAGTAAAAATTCTTGTATATTAAACACAAGAGTCCTCAATCATACATTTTTACCACAGTTAAAAATATCAGAATTATATGGTTAATTTTTTTTATAAACGTTTTAAGTTTAAAATTTAAAAAATATATGCAAATTATTTTAAAGTTGAAAATTTATGAAGTATTTGATTTTAACAGATTTTGTGTAATCAAATAATATAATATAAGGTTAATTTAGTTAATATTAATAATGACAAATCAGATCAAACAAAAATATAAAAGTATGATTTGTCATATATTTAAAAATGTGTAATGGACGCTTGATCTATCGTCAGTTAATATAAATGACTTAATAAATATATTAAAATATCTATAGAAATATAGGATGACAAACGTCCCCCACTCACATCGTTTTAACTACCTATGTAATTGATTGAATAATTTGAATTCAAATTTAACACATCCATTTCAGTGACCTACACCTATCTGATGTTCGAGAGTAAGAATTTTTTGTAAACACTTAACACGATGATACTTGCTATGCTGTCTAAACAGAAAATAGTCTTTATTAGTTTTTTTATTATTTGTTGCCCCTTTAAAAAACAGATAAGATAAAAAAAAAATACTGCTGAAAAACTCAGATTCACTTAAGATGAAAAAAATAAATGAAAACACAATATTATTAAACCGATGTACATTCCACATTCCACTCTTTCCGTTTAAAATCTAAAATATGCAAAAAGAATAATAAGTTATGTATATCTTTTTGTATTTTTTTAAGCTAGGGTTTTTTCATACTTTTTACATCTTTATTTTAATTTTTTCAAAACAGTCATTATAATAACTAAAATTAATTTAAACAGTAAGCATTATTTATTTTTAAATATCCTGTACATACAATATACATACCTCCTATTAGTATTCATAGTTACAAATAAATAAAAACACAAACAAATATGGTTGTATTCATGCATAATACTATTTTAGTATTATTGATTCGATGGTATTTATAAAATCTAATCTGGCGTGAACTCAAAACGAGAGTCACAATCGTGAAAGTGTGATACGCGATTTATGCGATGTATAATTATATACTTATATATATGTGTAAACAATGTAACATAAAACACGTGAAACTGAGGAAGGAAACCAATCTAATGTTGCGTTTCATTAAAATTTAAAATATTTATATACATATCGATCAAAAAATAATTGAACTATAATTGTGTAATATGTGACTTGTATAAATGTATAATATATAATACGAGGTACGTACATTTTATTGTACATTTTAAGTGTTTATCTGTGTGTATAATTTTATTCATATACTATAATTTAACTTTACCGCAATAATACATTTATTAAATAGGTGGGTACCTATATTATACATACACTTTATTAAAACGTTAGCCGCAAACGACCGAGACTACGGTCAGATAGCGTTATATATTAGTATATTACTGTACATTGTATCTTTAGCAATCTAATGCATAACAATATTATATTATAAATACATCGAATCACTGGAGAATATAATACCGTAGGTGTATATTGTATATAGCCCAACCAGTCCATGCTCGTTATTGAATCGAGTGTAGAGAAAAGTGTTACCTATATAAATTATTTTATAAAAATAAATAGGTAATATTGCTGTTTGTAAGTCGTATACAAACATGAATTTAAATAATTTATACATTTTACGAAATATCAAAGAGAGTGTGCAAAGATAGTGTTTGAAAAAATACTGTTTACTAATACTGTTAAATGATATTTATTTAGTGATTTAATTCTAAAAATTTCGTGCTATATAAATTATTGTGTTGACATTTCTAGTAATGATTTTGTTATAATCAATTCTGGACTTAAAATTGTGTATGATAATAACGAAACACATTTTGTAATACGAAAAGAAGAGCGTGTAAATCAAAGTGTGTAGGTATTAGATTATTGTCTGTAATTAGTTAATAATTTTCGTTTATAATATTTTATTCTGGTCCAAAACCTATACAATTCAAATAAAATGTTATAAATATTTAAAAATTAGTATTACAACGTATTATATACATCATAACTATGATCCCATTCCCCTTAATAATTCAGACTTATGTTAACATTGGTCCGCGCTGAAAATGATTTCTGTGTATTGGATTTTAAGAGGTTTACAACTGCTTCATGCATCTTGATTACCTGTAACTAACACTTATAGTGTAGGTAATTAACGAAAATCGTCCAGTTTTCCCTATTAATAAAAAACGCCAATAGTCTCAGATTTATGTATAAAAAAAAGTCCTAAATAACGTCATGCGCGCGTCATACGTACCTAAGAGCCTAATAGTTATTTTAAAATGAATATTAATTGCTTTTTTATTTATAAAACCGTTGTTTTTTATCACAGGAAAAGATCGTGGCCGGTTGAGGTCATGACGACGCAATGCGGTCCACTGACGGTCTGCTGGCACTGCTATGGGTCATAATCGCCATAGCTGTGACTGCGAGGACGCCGTATGTCACGGCGGCTACGTGCCCACAGCCAAATGATGCAGTCCGGCGATGTAAGTGTTCCAGCCGAGACAATGAAATCCAGATATGGTGAGTGTCCGCACCTATGTATAAGTTCTGATCTGTAGTCAAAACCATATACAAAGTCCAAGATATAGCTATTGCACGTGTATAAGTGTATAAGTAAACGATTGACGTACCTATATGGGTATATGATATGCACCTACTAGTTACCTACTGGTTAATAGCTAGATAGGTACGTAATAGTAGACGCGCTCTAGCGCACTGGCACAAAGCGAAGTCAACAAAAAGTTCATTTTTTAAGGGGTTTAAAATAGGCAACATGTAGAGTGTAAAGTAATAATGGTCATAAATCACGATTATGTGCACACCACCGTCGCGATGAGTTAGAACTCAAACGTAATAATATGTACGCGTGTCGGGTATATATTATGCAAATATTATAATTTATAATACACTATATGTCTGTATCACATTGTCATGCACAAGAATATTTTTTTTTTAAATAAACGCGGACGCCACAAAGTTTAAAATTTTCTATATTATAGATTTTAGCCTTATGAGTAAGGACTATAGGCGTACCTACATAGATTATAAAAAGGTGCTTAAGTACCGTATTTAGTATAAGTACATATTTTATAGATGTAGGAACACGTCAAATGTCGATATGATTTTATATTTTGTGTGGTCATATGCGGTATCAACAAAACTAATCTTTACTATATAATATTTGTAAGTGCCGTTGTCGTGATTTTTAGAAACTTTTTTTAAACATTAATAACTAAATTTAAGTATTAAGTAGGTTATATGGGTATATATTTTTTTTTGCTTGTGATTGTTTGGACATGCCATTATTTTATTACACAATAGGTAAACGTAATATGATACATTTTATCGTCCACCAGTAAGAATATGTTTTTTACGATTATGTTTCAAATAATACGGTGTACTATAATATATTCATAAATAAATCGAGTCTTTTCAAATGTTTAAATTAAATTTTAATTTATACTTGAATCTACATAGAGTTTTTGAGGATGTCAATTTAATAAATATCTATTTTAGTTCATAAGTGGGTATTACGTATTATTATTATTAAATATTAACAATAATGATTAAAATATATTTACCATTTAATAATATTAATGGAATTATAATATTAAAAATGGTATAAACGAGATTCAAAATTTTTATAAGCTATACAATAACTTGAATTACATAATTTGATACATATCTAAATAATTATTTAATATTTTTACACTTTTATTTATAAATTGTGACTAATAGTTAATAGTTATTATTATAATGTTTAGATTTTTCTTTAGCTAAATGTACTTTCTTTAATCTTTTTTGTAAATGTTAAATAATAGAGAGAAATATACTTATATTTCTCCTATCTAGAAGAATCGGCATTGAGTGTCATTTTTAAATTTAGTATGGATTTTTAAGATAAGAATATTCACAATAAAATTAATCATTGCTCATCATTTTATAGTTTAAAAATTACCCGTATTATGAAATCTAATCTAATGCAACATAAATAATAATATTTTCTTGTGTTATTATATAATTTGATGCCTAAATTATGTGGTTATTAAAATAATAATTAAAGTGAAAGGAATCTTAATTTATCAAAAGAAATGTATTAAGTGTGCACAATGCTTTTATAAAATTTTCTCTCTTTTGTTATAACATAACGTAACTTCTATTTAAATTATAGTTTATCTACATGGTATTATTAACATTTTAATAACCATAATCATTTTTCAAAGCATTTTTTTTATTTATTAATAATTTGTATGATACTTTTATAATTTCAGGTGTAGTCATGGAGATTCGAAGACCATATTTGATGAGTTGAAGCATTTAGCCTCATCCGTAACAGATCCAATTGACGAACTAATATTGGAAAATAATGCCATTTCGTCAATGCCTGCCAACGCTTTTTCAACTTTAAAAATTATACGATTAATGTTACGTGAAAATGGAATTCAAAAAGTTGCTTCCAACTGGTTATCTGATCAAGAAACAAGCATACTAGAATTGTTTATAGTAGAAGCAGAACTTAGAAGTTTTCCAGAGGAAAGTTTAATGGTGTTACCTAGACTAGAAGCTTTATCATTAATCGCAGGATCATTAACTCGACTACCAATAATATCTGGCTTAGCTAGATTGAGGTATGTTCAAATCGAAGCATCTTCATTAATAAATATGGGAACAGGCAATTTCTTGGGATTGCCATTTTTAGAACAGTTGCATATCACTGGTTCTCCAAAAATGCAAAAATTGGATGTAGGCAGTGTACAGGATTTGCCTCGACTATTTTTGTTAAATTTCACGGATTGTGGAATCACGTGGATGCACCCTAGAGCTTTTGCTCGCTTGCCATCACTTCTTGAACTATCATTAGTCGGAAATAAGTTAGCTGATGCGTCTAATATTGGAGGAGCAATCAGAGATTTGACAGCTTTGACTACAATTAGACTGGATAGAAATGAATTAGAATTCATTAATGAAGCTACATTCGTAGATATACCGTCGTTACGTTACGTTTACCTGTCCAACAACAAGATAAGTGATATACGTAGGGGCGCGTTTCATCGGATGCCCAATCTTAAGTCAATCGATATGAGCAAAAATCAAGTGCGTCATATTCACCCGGAATCATTCACGCCCATCCGTGATAACAATCTAGAAGAATTATGGTTATCTGAAAATTCCATAGACAATGCGATGACAATAAGATTAATTTTAGACATGTTTCCTAAACTTCGTTTTCTGGATGTCAGCAGGAATCAGTTACAGGACATTGTTTACGGATCAGTACAGGGGCATTCGAGACTGGAAATGTTGTACTTAGAACACAATAAACTACAAAGGGTTGGCAGGGAAACGTTCACTGCTATGCCAATGTTAAGGGAATTGAGATTGGCCAATAATTCGTTGTCCAATTACCTAGCAATTCCTCTATGGAACTTACCTATGTTAAAAGGTCTTGACATATCGTTTAATAAATTTGACAAACTAGAACGACGCATGCTAGCTACATTACCATCATTAAGGCGATTTGATATTAGTCACAATGCTGTTTCATCACTAGACCCAACCACATTTATCGACACTCCGAATTTAGAACACATCAACATATCTCGTAACAACATAGATTCTATAAACTCTTTAACATTATCCCATTTATACCATTTATACGAATTTGATGCAAGTTTCAATAGACTTAATCAAGTATGTATTTTGTTTTAATTATATTAATAAGTTTAGAAAATAAAAATGTAATAATTACATAAACTTAGTTTTTTTTTTGAACAAACTAAAACTATTTAGTTAGTTTTTCTGTTAACCATTTTTAGTAGTGATTTATTTTATAGTTACACTCAAGTTTAAAGCATTATTTCTCTCAATATATTTGAGTCTTAAACTTATATGTCATGTTGTTTAATTACATCTTTTTGAATCTGAGCAGTGAGAACTATATTCATACATTTATCTTTCAGAAAAAGTTATATCTATTATATCTATAAAATACTTTTTTTAAATTAATGGAAATATTAAATCTTGTGCATATCATTTTCACAGTTGTACTATTAAATATTTTTAAATACTTATTACAATGAATAAACTTAAAATAAAATATAAATATAATTCACAGTTTGTTGGTGGTATGCCAAGGGCCATTGAATACTTATATTTATCTCATAACAAAATAATGAGCTTGCCAAGTGATAGTTCAACAGATTTACATCTACCAGCCTTGAAACTTCTTGATGTTTCAGGTAATGTAATAACCCATTTTATTAGAATATGAGTTTTATTTTATTATTGTTTTTGATATTAAAAATATTATTATATTTTATATTTTAAATGTTTAATTATAAATTGAATATATTTGTTTAGATAATAATATTCATAGAGTACCAGCTAATTCATTGACTGCTTTAAATTTACTGCGTTGGCTTTACTTGGGCGGGAATTCGATGCAACAACTGGATAATGGAGCATTTAGTGGATTAAACCAATTAGAAATACTGACATTAAACGATAATAAATTATTAAGTATACATTCGAACACTTTTAAGGAGTTACCACTTCTTGTGAGTAAAAATTAATAAAAGTAAAATTATGAAGTGTCTAATATATATTATTTTTTTAGAACGAATTAAATTTAAAAGGTAACAGATTAGAGATTTTAGAACCTTCTTTGTTGTCTAATAATGCAAAATTGAAAAAACTCGATATAAGTCATAATAGACTAACTGAAATTCATGAATCATACTTTTCTGTAAATAAGTAAGTTTTTTAATTAGATAATTTTATAAATGTATATTAATTTATACATTTATCTAGGGAACTTGAAGAACTATCTATTTCTCATAATTCATTATCGGATTTTCCATCATCGTTAGCAGCGAATCCAAATCTAAAAATTCTAGATTTAAGAAATAACGAAATTAAACATATGAAAAGTGGAATGGTCTCGTCAATGCCATACTTAAAAGAGTTGTACTTGTCAGAAAACAACTTGAACATTTTAAATGAAGGGGCCTTCCAAAAGCTACCAAATTTAACTATTTTAGAAATGGAAGGAAATAATCTAAACACATTACCTTCGTATGGCATACAAAACTTGCCAAATCTTATGGTTGTAAAAATGGCTAGAAATAAATTGGTGTCCTTACCAAGTGCAGCTATGGTGAATCTACCAATGTTACAAATTGTCGAATTGCAACAAAATCAACTCAATGAGATAGCAAGTGATGCATTTGTTGGTATACCAAATTTAATTATGATGAACTTAAGTCACAATTATTTGAATGGCATGGAGAAATCCGGTTTAAATAATTTAAGAAATTTAGAAGTACTTGATTTAAGCCATAACAAATTAAAACAAATAACTACTAGAAGCATACAAAATATGCACTCATTAATCATGTTAAAAGTAAGATATATAACATAAATTTTACTACGATTACTGTAGTAAAATATGTTCATAAAATAGTATATAAAATCTTGTATTGTTGTAGCTTGATAACAACAGATTGTGTAACATTATTGGAAGCCCATTTGAAGGAATGAGCCGTTTAAGAGTATTAAGCTTACGGGACAATAAAATGACTTCACTTTCTGAGTCTACGTTTAACAGCATCAAACCCACAATATCCCGTTTGGATGTCGATGGTACATTATATTATTTATACATATATCTAATTTATTTTACTGCAGATATATTATTATTTGTATAATTGTTTTTTATTATATTTTCCATAAATAACAACAATATAACTTAAGTGTTTGAATTATAATAATATGAAAAAATAATTTTTATATTTATTTTTTTATTTAGAAAAAGATATTTACAATCTGTGTTTACATCACAATAAGCTAAATGAATATAATATTATATTGTTTGATTATTCAATATTAGGTAATCCAGTACACTGTGCTTGTAACATGAAGTGGTTGCAATCATGGTTAAGAACGACTGCTGACAGTTTTGGCCCTAGGTGTGTCGATGGTACTTTACTTAGAGAAATGCCTTTTACATCGAAACACTGCGACGAAAAAGAATTAAACAGTTTAGAGGAAAATATTCCGGGCTGTGAAATTGAATCTGCATCTGCTGTTAATGGTGAGAGTTGTGTACAAAACATGTCATGTATAACAAATTTACAAACATAGGTTATAACTGAAATTTAAAAAATTGTTTAGCAAATACAGGGACTTCTAATAAAGTAACAACGTGGACAAACAGCGAAGAATCGGAGAAAAATAAACCACTGCCAGAAGAAACTGATTATTTTTATGATGACGTTGTCGATCTAAATGACAAAGATGAACACCAAAGAGATGTTTCAACCGAGAAAACATTGTCAACAATATCTCCTGCAATTTTATCACACTATGTACCCGGTGATACACCAACATTATATGCTAGTTCTCGGCCAAATAGCTCTTCTTCTTACACCGATGACCACTCAGTGCAAAGCAACGCCGGTGGTACTGCGTACACATTTTTCGGCGTACCAATACCGCCGCTAAACTTGAACAATATATGGGGTCAAGCAAAAGGTACAGGTAAAAGACTCAAAGATGGCAGGCGAAATCCATTGCCAAAAAGGACGTCATCAACAGTAGACCAAGATGGTTTTACGCCTATGTTACCGGGCACTGGAGGTTTTCGGCCAACGATGACTACTCCAGATAATTCTTTCTTCGGGGAAGACACAGAGAGCGATGATGATGAAGATAACATTTACAGAAATAACAGTTTATCCAATAAAATTACGGGTTCCGGCAGTCCCCCGCGGTATCAACTCAGCAGCACTACTGAATCACCGTTCCGTTATGATAGATTCTCCAGCAGTGACTTAAGTTTTTCAAAGTTCGTTAACATCACAACTCGTGATTCCTTATACGAGTCGGCCACTATAAATTCAATTATTAGACCAACCGTTAAACCTAGTTTAACCAACAACCAGCAACAAACGTTGGCGACCGCTACCACTTTACAAAGCAATGATTCGGTTAACCAATCTGAAATTTCACTAGTTCAATCCTCAACAGGTAACAACATGACGTCCAAGTTTCAATATATTTTTAACATGTAGTCTATAAACCCATGATATGCCCATTGATCATATGATCTAGAAGGAGATTAGATAATTTTATATTGAATCAAGAAATGTTATGTTTATTCCAAACAAAAATAGATGTATTTTACTTTTGTGTATATTTGTACCTATATTAACGGTCAAGTAAAAAAGTGACTGAAGTGAAAAACTTAATAAGAAATTCCTGATCCGTTCGATAAGTGCCATATTAAAACTATTAGCAATTTTCAAATACATTCAGTGATAGCTTACAATACCCAATTCGTTAAGAAAAGTAAAAAATGTATATAATTTATAGGTATCGTAATATGTACAAATATAAATCAAAATTAATACAATAATTGATTAAATATTTTTACTAACTGTATAGTATTTACTTAAATATACTACAAAAACACAATTTAAAATTGAAATGCCTACTTGTATATCTATACAACTTTTTCAGCTCTCTTATATTTATACCGAAAGTTATTATATTAATTCCAAAGTTTGAATTTGAATTTATAAGCATTTAAAAACAGATCAATTTACAATTATTTCCACGAATAATTACGATATTTATTTAAATTTAAATTTAAAAATTGTAGCTTTAGTTTTACACGTACTTAATCATATATCATATTCATATAAAATATTATGAAATACCACATTTTTGACCTACAAAATTGTACTTAACATCAAAACTATCGAAATAACCTATCAATAAATTCATTTTAGAATCTTGGGCACGCCACTAACATATCAAAACGTTTTTACTAATATTGAATAAATTATATGCACTATGGAGTAGTTTTCAACTATATAGCATATTAACGAAAGTCTTATAAGCAATCAACTTTGCCATTGTCAAAAGCATTTCTGTGAAGAGATCTTGACACAAATATATTTAAACATGGTTTTTCGACTGTAATCTTTGAAAATTCAAGTTTAAAAGCATACTTTCACATATCTAGAACAGCAATAAGTAACTTTTAGGACTTTTATTTTTTGGATATTATTCTCCGATTATCACCCCCTTCTTTAAAAGGTCGTCTCAACAGGTTAAGTTAGGCGCACCCTTGTGATAATTGTTTTTTAATGTACCTACACCCGTAAAGTTGTGTGTTCGCAGTGGGACCCACGACGAGGAGCTCGACGACCGAACAACAACGTCAGTTCGCAGTCGTCACGCAGACGGCCACCACAGCAGCGTCGACGATGGCGCCCGGATCGACTACAACATTCACCGAAGCGGTCAACGTGTCCACGCCGTCGTCTTTGACCGGTTTCTTGGCACCTGGCGGACAGCTACCAGTGTTCAACGATGGAACCGGTGGTCAAATGCCGTCGGTTCACAAGGACGGAACCAATGGTCAGCTGCCGTCATCTCACAAAGACGTCGGAAGCGTAGTGGTGACCGGAAAACCGTCCATCGTGAAAGTGACGCTGAGTCCGCCGGGTCAACAGAGCCAACAACAGCAACCACAGCAACCGCAGCAACAACCACAGCATCAAAGGCCACAGGCGGCGGTAGAAGACGCGAAGTACTCGAAGAGCGCCGGCAGTAATCATCAGCAAGCATATCAACTTCCGCTGCCCACCAGGTCGGCGGACACGTTCCAGTCGACGCCGTTCAAGACGAGTTCGGCAAGCGACTGGTACTACGCCAACTACAATAAGACCAACGTGGAACCGTTCGTCAGCAAGACGTCGTCCGCTGCGTCCCGCACCGGCCACCCGCCCACCATTTCGGCCACGACGGCGATTGCAGCGGCCGCCTTAACGGCCGTTTCCAGTTTCGGACGATCGCCTACCGCCGTCGTATTACCATACTGTACTTTAACCTTTGTTCTATATTATTATCATTATTATCATAGTTATTTTTATTAATTAAATCGTTCGCGGATTACAAAATCTACCTTCCTCTGGAACGTATTTAGGAGCGAGGCTTGGGCCCCGGTTGGTAATATTTTAGGGGCGGGAAATTTAGGAAATATAAAAAGTATTAGTTTTAAGTTATTCTTAAAAGAGGACGCTTAAGAAACAGTGCTCCCGGACACTAAAAATGTAAATACGTCTCTGACCTTCCTCTAAACAGAATTTTACTTATAGGATATTATAACGATATTGTGTAGATTTATATTACGAATTTTAATGTATGAGGGTAAATCTTTGAACTCCATACATAGCTACATACTGTATAGCGTATAAACTATACAATGAGTAATGACTATGTTATTCGATTCGAATTCGTCCGTACTCTTGTAATCATTGGCTGAGGGATCTGCGGCCTATTCCTCGAATTTTCTGAAAATTTAACGGTGCCTCCGTCAGTATTGTTTAAGCGTTAAAGTACATAGGATAAAACTATCGTGTACTAAAACTGTTAATTGTGCGAGGGATGCTGTGAAAGTCAAAAAGGTCATTTACCACGTGTCATTAGGTGAATCCTATAGGTAATTAAGCCTTACCTTTATTATAAACTATCCGCTTCCGAAACAAAATCCTATCCACGCCACTTCTTATAGTATATCATATTTCAACTGTTTAATAAAATGTATCTATTAAATGATTATGACTAGGGCTCAGAAGTTGTAGGAGTTGCATATTGTTCTATCTGCTATCAATTTACACCAGGCTAAGCTAGAAATCCTTACTTATGCGAAGGTCAGAAGGTATGTTTAAACATTAAAAGTTTAAAATACATATTTTGCATATTTCATACATTTTAGGGAAGAAGTGCATATTTCGTAATATGTATATTAAGCATATTTAATATTTTTTTTAAATTTATTTCTTTTTCTTAACCAATATATTTAAAATAATATTGAATACAAAACTCAACAATATTATTGGCAGGTAGTTTGTTATTGTTGCAGACGAATATAAATTTGACGACAACATTATGTACCTATATTTAATCTATATCACAAAATAAATTAAAATATTGCCTTATCGTTGATAAGTTATAAACTTAACTTTTAGCGAATCTATGCATTTTTCAATCGTTACTAAATTTGTTGCACATGTTTGAAATGTTACAGTATTTTTTAAAAATATTTTTACAGTTTAAAATGATGTTAAAATGTCAACCTGTTTTCCGTCATATATTTATTAAATGTAAATTAATTTTTCCATGTTTTAAATTTGTTTTTGCGCATACAAATATTTGCATCTATATTTTGCCTATTTTAATTCTTATAACTTTCAAGCCATAATCATGACTAATGGTTGTAGTAGATATATTATGCCCATATAAAGCTGTATCGCTACATCTAAATATGTTGTATAATTCTTATATAATAACTGTTCAATTTTATTTCACGTTCGTATTTTCGTATTTTATTTATTTAAATTTTAACAAATAGAAAATGGATTGATTATTTTGTCGTTTTCGGTAACAAATCCTATTCCTATCAATATACATACGTTAATTTAAGAATAGATGTGTAAAGGCAATAATTTTAATTCTAAACACGATAAAATATTGTTATTAACGATTTTTGGAGCATATATTACATATTATAAGCATATTTTATATGCGTATATTTTTATACACATCAAAATATATAATAATTGTTTTTAAAATATATATTTAATTTTATAATATTTTATATAATTAAAATGTTTTATTTAACAGCGCCTATATCAGGTATGACCTCTATATTATGAATTGTAACTTATGTAATAATGTAATGTATACCGATCTATTAGTGTACATGTAATGTAGTATATTATGCACCATTGTATCATATTATATTTGATGGTTGACAATACTTAATTCATATTTTACTCTTAGTTATTTCAAAATTAATGAAGTATGTAGTATAAATAAATAACTAGCTAATTCTATTTCATTTTTTATTTCTAACTATTTGTGTTTGATTTTTGATTATGTGTTACACTTCTTGCTCTAATTGTAATATGTATTGATTGATTTTTTTTAATAAAATACATTCTACAAACATTTATATTTAATAAAACCAATACAAAAATTAAAATTTTTTTTTTAAATTTTATTTCATTGAACATATCAAATGTCTATAAATTACTTTGTTAAAACATTAAATAGCCAATAGGTAATAATTATTATTGCACTTTGACATTGAGACGAATTTTCACTCTGTTATGCAATTAATCGGTAAACTTACAGTTGCTTGGATAACTTATAGTCTGAATATTTCTGAAAGCTCCATTCTTTATAGGTAATCAAAATATGGGCAAACTTGACGAGGTTTTTTACCAACTAGATATGCAGTGAAAAGATAAATATGATTGCATACACTCCGTACAACAATACATTCCTCGTTTTTAGTTGATTGATTGGCTTGACATTAAATACATAATTCCATAGTGTGATTGTGACAAATGGCACAATTGTCTACAACTACGTCAGAACACTATAACGTGACAGCACTCCATTTCGTTACATCCATAGGTATCTGACTTTTTTTTCACAGGTACTGATGCTTGATGATGAAACAGAAGCTTCAATAGCTTCTTTTTAACTTCCATATTTTTTTAAATATTAGCATGTTTTAATATTTCTTAAGAATACAATTCACAAATCCGATTAGGTTATAACTTATAAGTGACTTTGAATCATACAGTCGTAACAAAATATAACAGTGAACAATTATGTAATTTATTAAGTGTACATTTCGATTCGTAAAATTGTGGCTGAGTGACATGAGGAGGCTCCTAAGGTCTTAACGGCTATGGTACATCTACCATTGCTGCTCTCTGGACTCCCTTATAAATGAAGTCATTTCCTTGCTATGAATAACCAATGCACTATGTAGATATCCTTGGAATGTGTGGAAATTTGTTGTAATAAAAGAGCGACCTTGATGATGCATTTAAACCTTAATTGCTGACACGTGCAATGAGTAAATTATTATAATATACTTTGATATTTTGTAACCTACGACATTGCAATATTTTATTTTTTTCTGCTTGATGTTTCAAACAAAAATGATTTCTTATAAAATGGACGAACTTATGATTATAAATTCATTAAATGTCTTTTTTAATGAAAATATTGATGACAGTGATACTGATCCATTATTCGGAATTGAAAATAAAATTAATAGTAAATTTCAAGATTCATCTAAAAACAAGAGTTACCTTTATTTTATTTCAAATTTAAATTCTTGATTATTTTAAATAACTCTAAATACTTGTAATTCAAATAAACATAATTATTAGATTTAATAGTAATTCATAATATTTCAAAATGATGATAAGATAGTATTTGTGAAAAAACATCTTATGCATTTTTATATTATAAGTTATATTATTTCATTTTTTTTTTTTTTTTTTTTTTTTTTTTTTTTTAATTTTTGATTTCATTCATTGAATTAAAAATAAATTGATTTAAAAATATTAATTTTATCAATCTATTATTTATTCTGCTATAAATTACAACAGTTTAATGAATATAAAATTTTACCATAACTAAACAATAAATCATTAGTATTTATCATAATATAACTTAATATAAAAATTGCTTTAAATATTTCTTGCAAATGAAAATTTATTGAAAAATTTAAATGATAATAGTAATTACAACCAATTTTATAAATTCTAACTTGCTCACATCTTTTAGTGAACTATAGTCTAACTAAATGTTATATAAAGTATTTATCACTTATAGTAAAGTTAAGGTTTATCAACTAAAGGATACAATGTATTAATGATATAGAATAATACACAATTTATTTCATTTATACTATTTTAATATTTTATATCACTATAAACAAATTTACATTAGTTTGTTATAGTGCAATAGATTGAGACACAGCAAATGCAAGTTACATAAATGAAAAAATAAACAAAACAAAAATTCAAAATGTCTTTAACATCTAAATATGTAGATAGGTGTACAACATATTATAACAAAAACAATGTAACATAAAACATACATTAAAAATGGCTAAGTATAGCAAAATAAATTTTAACATACTTAGATAAAGTACCAAAGAATAACTTAACACTTAAATTTATTGAATCACTTCTCTAATCAAATTCCTGAATATTAGATTTATTGACTCTAAAAAATACTTTTAGATGTTAAATATAATTAAAATTATCATAAATAACATCTTAATTTAAAAACAAATTACAATTTTAATGAATGGAATATTTCAGAAAAGTTAATTTAAAAGATTTCAATTTTTGAAATTCATACACCAAACACGGTTAATTGTTAATATTTTTGTGATACATATCTTTTTAGTTAATCTATTATAACAAATATATCGATACTAATTAATGAATTGTTTAATTATGTTCTTACATAACACAATATATACATTATATTATTAAGAATAGAACAAACTAACAATAATATTAGTTAATTAACAATCCTCAAAATTAAATATTAAATTACCTGTCTATCAGTTATAATCAAAGTATATAAAAAGAGATCGCAACGCAACATATTAATATTTAATTGCTATTGTCTTATTACAACCACGACAACATAAATAAAAAAACAACGTATATTAGCTATGCATGTATCTACATTAAGACTAATAACGTGGAAAAAAAAATACATTTTTAAAGCAAGATACAAAATTTGACTTTAAATATAAAAATGATTAATTTAATTAATGACATTAATTATTTAAAAAATCAAAATAAATATTTTTATTTTTATTTACTTAGTACGAGAAATAAAATGGGACCATTTGGCAATACTTATTTGGCAATAATATATACCATTTTACTTATATCACTTAAGTAACTTTGTAATACGTATGTATTTAAATTTAAAATTTATTAAAAATTCAATTGATTAACCACATTACGACGATTTAATAATATTGATATTAAAAATTTCTAGATTAAAGTATATTATCAACATAATATATCATTATGTTTAAGTTCAAATTTCAATTTTGGTTATAAATTAAGATGACAAATAACATTTTATATTTACATAAAAAATACATCCATCCCGATTAATTTTAAATTAATTTATAACATACATAAAAATAAATAAGAAGAAACAATTTTTAAAATATGAAGATATGAAGTTAATTTTCAAGTTAAATGTTTCCAGACATAATCAGCTAGTAGTGAAGTACTTTGTGTGCATGAGCAATCCGTTTGTTCTCAACTATGTTTTGGATGACTATCCATACCCATCTGACGTGGCACCTATAAAACCATGTACGTTTTAATTAAAAAAATATATTATATTAATTTTTAAACTTACAGTCATGTTAGTAGGTTGTTGAGGAGCTGCTTGGTACATAGGGTTGGAGTTTAACACACCCACATTATGGTTGACTTGTCTTCTGTTGTTGTCTGATCTCGACTCTTGAACAACACCTCCACGGATGACTACATGAGAAGGTGCATTATTTGGCAATTGATGAGTTGGATGTCTATAAAATAAATTCATAAAAAATCAAAATATATTTTTAAACATGTTTAATAAGATGATAAGAAGTCTAATATATCTGCATACTATCAATACCTGTTAGAAGTGTGATTCTGATATCTATGTTGCATTGAAGGATCAATATTTCCATGATTTTGCTGATAATTTGACCTAGGTGGTTGGTTTGTAATCGGAGCTTCAACATGATTATTAGTAGTAGGAGGGGCTGGTGCTCGGTTCCTATTATCTAAAATGTATAATATATAAGTTAATCAAATATATTACTAAAATAACAATAAATGCTAAAAATAAAAATGATAATTTATATAGGTTTATATAAATTACTTTGAG